CAGAGTCATGAAACTATAAAGACACTAAGTGATGGTTATCAGAACATACAGAGTCATGAAACTATAAAGACACTAAGTGATGGTTATCAGAACATACAGAGTCACGAAACTATAAAGACACTAAGTGATGGTTATCAGAACATACAGAGTCACGAAACTATAAAGACACTAAGTGATGGTTATCAGAACATATAGAGTCATGAAACTATAAAGACACTAAGTGATGGTTATCAGAACACACAATCATATTTTATTTTTCAGGCTTCTTCATATATTTTGATTTTTGTGAACATCATAAAGGAGTAAGGTTAAAATTCTCTTTAAAATATAACAGTTCTATCTCTACTGAAGTAATCTCCACTCCCAAGGTAATACAAATATATTTACACAAACATATCACCCAAGAAAATATTTACAAGAAAGATTGTTTACAAAGTAGATAAATTAATGTAGGACGAATGATTTAATGATCGTGAAATATGAAAGTTTATTTCTTAAACATTTTCTTCTAGCTAACCTTGGGAAAAGTGCCCAAGTTTCTGAAGCTACACGTTCAGGAACTGATGATAAACAGGATGAGTTAAATCAACAATGCCAGGTTTGTTTCGAAGATCTGTGATATTAAGAGAAATAATGTAACTTCTCTGTTGTACAGAATAATATATTCCTGAAAGTGCATTGACAATATTTCAAAACTGAGTAATTATTATTGCTCCCAACAATAGTAAACAAATCTAAGCACAGTCTTATTACCCCCAATAATAGTCAAAAACCAAAAAAGGATTTTTGTATTCAAAATATCACTTCCAGAAACAGCCAAAAAACTGAGCAAGATCATATTATTGCTCACCAATTGTTATAAATTGAGCAAAGTAGAGTAATTCTTATCACTCCCAACAATAGTCAAACACTGAGTAGAATAATTCATATCACTGCCAACAATAAAGTCTTATCACTCCCAACAATAGTCAAACACTGAGTAGAATAATTCTTATCACTGCCAACAAAAGTCAGTCACTGAGTAAAGTAATTCTTATTGCTCCCATCAATAAAGTCAAACACTGAGTAGAATAATTCTTATCGTTTCCATCAATAGTCAAACACAGAGTAGAGTAATTCTCATCACTGCCAACAATAAAGTCAAACACTGAGTAGAATAATTCTTATCACTGCCAACAATAAAGTCAGACACTGAGTAGAATAATTCTTATCACTCCCAACAATAGTCAAACACTGAGTAGAATAATTCTTATCAC